TGAAACAACAGGCTGTTCACGAGTGAAATTAATTTTTTTTAGAATTTTTAAATTCTTCCAAAAAATGCACACGTAAGTTCATTCAGTACATCTTAAGTCTTGAATTCTTTATACGCCAATATGAATTTATTTGTTGAGAATGATTTATTTACAAATCTGTATTTTATTTTATTTTTATATAATCCTATCACTTTTTATAGAATCCATGAAAATTTGGTCACAAATTAAGTTCCTCACATGAGAAGATACAATATTCAACATCAATAAATTTGTTTATTATTATCATCAGCAGAAACAATCATTGAATTAATGGTCCTCTCCGAAGTCTGTCAGAAGCCGCTGACGCCACACCTACTGTACGTTACAAAATGCGAGGTATATCATCCTGTCGATCTCTTACTATGACTCATTCTGGCACTACACATGTAACGCCGTGTGGACTTTCAGGTAAATAACTGAAGTCCACACGGCCGTAGTCATGAGAATCTTAAATATCATTGTGGTTCTGTCCGCGTTTCTCATTGTCTCCATCCACGCTGTAAATCCCACACCCCTCCTTGATTTGTGGACAGATAAAATAAATTTAAATAATTCACAGTGCAAATTTGGGTCGCCGTGTTTGAGATACAGTCTGTCCAAGCACCACGCAGGGTACACGAATTTCCTTACAAATGAGGCAGTTTTGTGAGATGTGAAAGAAAATATTGGTCTCAATGTCATTTATACCTAATTTCAGAGAATGTCATCCCTTATTGTGAATGCTACTACACCAGAAGCTATAACGAAATAATAGAACACATGTGGCTTTCGATCACCATGCAATTGGTACTAAATATGAGAGAATAACAGAAGTTCTGAAGATGTTTATTGGTTTATTTTTAAATGACTTTAAAAACATTGAATCTTTCAGTCTGTCAGATAAGTAATCGAAAATTTCTTTCTAAAACAAAGGCACTACACGTAAGCTAAATATATCTATCGCTTTCTTTGTTCTCAATACAGAAGACTGTGTCCGCCCAACACCAGATTTTCACGGATCACAACTGTAATATACTTTATTTCCAATGCCGCTATTCTCTTACCATACACAATCATTATTATCACTCCCTCATCCCTCATTCAAATTATTGGGCTAAATACAGTGTGTTTTTCATGCCATCAGTCTCCTAACCCTACTTTTTATCATTATGCATGTGTATATGCAATATCAGCCTTGATTACCTGTTCTTTTCCTCTGGGTGCAGCTGATGTCTCCATCTTTTCTTCGGCCGTCCAGATCCTCTCCGTGCCAGTAGTTTCGTTCACTTTACCCTCACATTGCAAGTTCTTGAAATACGATCGATTTTTCTCAATGTGGCGTCTTCCACTCAATCACGAAAAATGACAAAATGTGCGTGTGGGCACGTGTTGCCCTTTAGACTATTTCCACTTTAATTCCGAAATATTTCACAGCCAACTAAGTTAAACACAGTCACCTGCACAAACAGACACTCCACCGCCTTCAAAGGAAGCGAGCGGGATTAACCTACACGCATGTAATGCCTTCATTTGTGAGCTTAGTTCTTCATTTCAACACAGCAAGTAGCGAAATAGCACAACACAGCTAATGGAAGTAGGCCTAGCAAACGTATGCACAAAATCTTCTTTTCTGAAATGTTACTTGCAAGAGAAAATCGATGATGATCCTCGAGGCAGTTAGGAATTAAGACACTGCATGCCACAATAACAAATTAAGGCCTTACGGGCATTACTTAAGAAATGCAGTATTATCGGAAGTTCCAGCACATGATAGCACTAAACTAAGCAATTCGAAGTGCAAGCAAATAACCATAATTCCAACATGGGTAGGTTTATCGATTCCGATACACCATTCAAGTATCGCACTCGAAAGCAAATGAAAAGGAAGGAAAGGGCGATTTCGGTAGCAATAATGTCTGACCAAACTGATATTTTCCTCAGTCACTCACGGCAACTGCACTTGTATTGCAAGAAAGGGTTCACAGCCGCTTTATCGCCATTATTTTGAAGATTTGTAAATAATCAGCCTATACGTTAATTGATACAGCGACATTATATAACCTGCAAATCAACAACTTTAGAACTCAACCTGTCAAACTTTATAATATATCTTAAATTTTGGATTTTTCTCACATCACTTCACTGGATATGACATTTCCTTTAAGCTTACATTGTGAAAAGGGGTATTTTATGCACATTGTGTTTAAGAATTTCATAATAGGCAAGTTTCATTATTCAGAAGAATTAGAACTGTATTGTACTCCTTCAGGGATAGCAAATTCCTATGATACACAGTTCTTGAAAATACGAAAGCTCATATATCATCTGGTGAACCATTTCCATCACTGCAGAAACTCTTCATCAGGTTGCAACAAACATGAGGGAAGAACTGAATTTGTGCACTGCTGAATGCTGTGGACATTTCCAACAGTTAATACAAGTTCTCTGTTTTCTGATTTCAATGTAATTTATTTTTTGACAATCAGAACTGCGATCACTCTGTATTAATACCTTAATAACACACCCATTTTCAATCAGTGTAAACTGCTTCAGAGGGAGACTTAAGTATCTTCAGACCGGTAGCAATTCAAAATATGTAATACAGAGTTGTTGCAGTTTTATTTATTACAGCCTCAGCAAATATTTGTACATTCACCACGATTACCACAACACCACATAATGCTTCTGCCACTTCAATCAGCCTGTTATTCTTCAAGATGCAAATAAATTTTCACACACAGAGTCAAAATATATTTTAAAAAAATGTCTGGAAGTATGATATATATGTCTGCCAGCCACTCAATGTAGAACTTGAGTATGATGACAGTACAAACAATTCCGCAATAAAGTCATGTCGACTTTGATGCCGCTAATTTCTGGAATAAACTTCAAAGCTACATAATCTGCTGGTCACCACAGACCAGTTAAAAAATATTTAATTGCTTTGCACCAATGGCATCTGCAAGGTATCGTATCCCACGAGCTACTAACATGGGGTTCTGCATTTAAAAAAAGAAAAGAGGAGAAGAAGAAACATTTTGAAGCTATTTTCATTAACCCTGGAGACTTTTCTTTTGAAATGTGACATTTTACACACCAATATTAATAGCAGAGATAGGCGGGGCATGTAGCCCGCATGGATGGGACAAGAGTTGTGCACCTGGTATTGGTTGGGAAGCCTGAGGCGAAGAGACCGCTGGGGAGACCTAGACATAGATGGGAGGATAATCTCAGGCGGGATCTATGGGAGATAGGAGTCAAAGGAGACTGGATTTTGTTGGCCCAGGACAGGGTTTGGCGGAGGGTTTTGGTTAATTCGGTGATGAACCTTCGGGTTCGGTAAGCCATCTAGTTAGTTAATATTAACAGCACAATGGATGAGACATAACCTCTAGACGTTCAGGTTCAGACATCAACACGAATCACTGCCACTGCTGCTGTCACTATACAGCATTCCAGTTAAGATGAGAGGCGACGTGAACGAGGTCTCATAAGAGGAAGTTACGTTACCGCTACCTACTGTCCCTCATCCAGTGTCATTTCATATTACTGTCCTTGCTTTTCAAAGAAATAGCAATGATAACGATTTACAGCATCATATTGGCCACAGCAGATAGACAGCATTGCAGTAACAGAGATATTATCGGAATGAGAGCATTTGTTTTGACTCTCGGCTTTTCTAGGATAAGGTACACAAATCAACATACAAAATCATGTAACAAAAATGTTCTGAGAGTTCTTAAAATGAGAAGCTTCATCTGCTTTATAACTCTACTCCAGAGAAAGACAAAATGTTACGAGTAAAATCAAAATATTACTAAAAACTTCAAAAATGAAGATACTAACAAAAATCACAACACAATTATAAGACCATTTAGTGTCAATTTTTCAGATGTAAAATTACAAATGTAAATCTGTATTATCTATACAAGTCTTTACACAAAATTTGTATAGGGCACAAAACCGTCATTTAGTACGCCACCGGTCGTCAAACTATACACACAGAAAATCATTTTGATTTGCTGAACATGAAATATGTACAGCCAGTAAACAAACCTTGCTTTCTCTTCAGAATTATCTTCCCACTTTACACCTTGTGCTCGTAATTGAATTATAATAAATTATGGTTTTGATCTCAAGCAGAAAATTTACAGCATATGATAAAACTTGAAATTAAATACCAGACCCAATGAAACAAATGAATATGAATTAATTTTTGACTTCTTCTTCATTACGCCGTCTCCTTTACAGGAGGTTGGCGACATATGAACAGGAGCCTTCCATCCTCTTCTCGGACTGGGACCTGTTCATATGTTTTTTAGGCATTGCCTTCTTCTGTGTGTATGGAGTATGGAGTGCCACGGAGAAACCGGGGAAGCCCCGGAGGAAAACACGGCTCCGTGTTGCCTAGACCATGGCCTTGCCCAACACAAGTTATAAATTCGGGCACCGCCGGGAATCAAACCCGGGACCCCAGGATTACAGGGCCAGCGTTCTAACCGCTAGACCACTGTGGCTGGCCTAGCATTAATTAATCAAGAATCATTATCCATCAGTACAGGTACTGCAGACACAAAACAAAGTACGAGTAGGAAAACCTTCAAAAATCGGTACAGAAGCCAAGTTGCACATTTGTTGCACCACTAGTCTGCAAAAAAAGAAAAAAGAAGCAACCCTCTCTCTCACTTTCCTTACGTCATATTAATATTCTTTTTTAAATAAAAGAAAGCTTAAGATTCTAGAACACTGCCCGCATACAGTCGTTATATTTACATAAACCGTGGCCTCTTCCAATAACCAATACAAGTACTGCAAATAATCGGACACGTCTGTGAAAAATTTTGCGTCTTGCCAACTTTGTCTGCTTTACATAACACTATACATAAATGAAGCGAAACATCTCAACACTTTCCAAAAAGTGGGAACACAACTGCCCCCAACCTGCTCCACTTCAGAACTGGGAATTTTGAATCACATAACAGTTTCATTATTTCATATTTATTCATAAAATATTTCTGATTGTTTCTGGACATGTATTTTCTTCCAGATGCCAAGATTCAAGCATAAGAAACTGCAAAAATTATGTCTGTATGCATGTCGTATGTTTATATTTCAAACAATGACACAGAAACAATAATGGACAAAAAAATTACAAAAATGTCAAAATGTATCCAGTTGTAGAAACTTTGCTTTTGTCTCGTACAGCGTGCTCTCAACAACGCTTTCATCTACCACAAACTTAACAAGTCAAAAAAAAATTTCTAAATTACATAACTGAAGTCCGCGAGAGACATTAACCCACAGTGGTTACAAAACAATTTTTTCATCCGCTGATAAGTCTGAGGTCTCCATTCCCAAACCAAAGAAACATTTACCTAATAAAAACCCAGAATGTTGACTAGACAGAAAATTGATAACCACTAAATCAAATTCTTGGTGCCAAAATTCATAAATACTCAATCACACGCTCCAGGGTATGTCTCAGAAACAAAATCAAAAATTTTGTGGGTTCTGTGTGGAATTCATACACATCATGTAAGCCTCTATACAAAGTACTGAACTGTCAAAGTCACGCACAATTTTCTTTCTCTCCTGTTCAGAGATTTGAAAAATGATTTGTTTTCCTTACATATTGCAAACCTCGTAGCTTCTGATTTAAACCCCAGCATTTAATAATGTCAGAACTTCAAAGCCCAGCAGCGAATGTATGAAGTCATAAAACACGAAGAGTAAATATGAAACATTTCATTATTTTTTTAATTTTAAATACATCAGATATTTTTGCTTTCACCTAAAAGTATTTTTACATACCATTCTTCGAACCTTACACATGTATCCTTCCTCTTCTACATATTTCCCATCTAGTCCCTGTAGATTTAATATTCTGATATATAGTACTTGCTCAAAATTAATAATGTTTCGTGTACAAAAATATTTTCAACTCAATTAGATTTCGTCTTCACAGAATGAAGCAACGTCATTCCTTTCTACGGCAGTACACGACTCTCATATACCAATATATAACGTCCGGCAAAGCAAATTCTACATATAATACAGTATCATACACCGAGTAATAAAACATGGAAAATAAGCCGCAGATCACGTCAACTTTCATGAATGCTTCTTGCATGAAAATAACATTGGATTTGATTTACCACATATTAATTTTTGGTATACGTACGTATAAAATATTTGAAAATGTCTAATAACTGTGAACCAAAAATAACACAGTAAGAATTATGAAAAGGTTATAGTCGGCGCAGTAGATTTTGGCCGGTGGAATTTTCAAAGGGAAGGCTAGGAGCGAGTCATTTGTGCGATAGTATAATGCTGACTGCACCGAGGAGCTTATCGGACTGAACGCCCAAACAAAAGAAATACACTGACCGTGCCACCTCAGGTACACAGAATAGGCCCGTCCACCAGTTCCGCTAGCTTCTCCACCGGCCAAAAACTACTGCTCACTAATACGCATATTTTCAGAGCAATACTCCAAAACATTAAATGTCAACATGAAATTTAAAAATGCAAGTAATTTTGAACTCATTAATTTCAGACCAAAATCTAATGTTGGTACGATGAATTTTTACTGTGTCCTCAATCTGAGCCTTGTGACTGGCCAAACTTTTGAATTCTTCGTCGTCTGATCTCCTCCTGTTCTTTGGTAAGCGCAGAGACATCTTCCTCGCTATCTGCCGAGGAAAGGAATGGATCAGGCGTGAAACCAACAGCACCTTCACTGCTTTCATTTCTACTGGACAGACCACAAGATATGAATAATACATAAAGCATGTATGCTAGTACCAATACTTCAGAAAACATTTCATTAATTCAATAAAAATAAACTTCCTGTTTATCCACAATATACATTTACAACGACGTAACTACAGATCTGCAAAACACGTAAAATACTAAGTACAGAGGTTCAGGTAAGAACTATGTACGAAGTAAACCAAAACTGAGTACAAAGATGTTATCTCTGGAATTTCACAGATAGCTTAATTGCTTTCATAGTCATTTACTACAGATAAAAATACCGATGTAAAACAATCACATTACAGGTTAAAAAAATACAGTCATGAATAATTTTCTTACAAATAATGATCATTACTTACGTACACAAAGACTCAATTATTCAGTTACCTGCTACTAGAAGGAACAGATTCAGCTGATTGATGTGTTGAAGGTGTCGTAGTTGTAGGAGCTGCAGTTGTCGCTGTATTTTCTAAACCTGTTGTAGCAACTGACGACGCAGCCATACTAAAATTAAAACAAACCACAATATTTATTCCATTCACAATCAGAGGTTGAGGTATCACTTACAGTCAAAAACAATTAATTTGCTACTGTAATAAAAAACTAAACAGAAAAGTTTCTGAAATTACACATTTACAGCAGAGTTTAAATGTCTTCATTATAACCAATCTTCGGATTAAAATTTTTTCGACCATAAGTCTATCAATAAGGAAACTTACTACACAGCGTATAGCTGCGAAAGCTGGCACAAAAATATTGTAGTGAATTAATTTTAGTTAACATATGGTAAATTAGAAATGTAGAGATTTGAAGTTACATAGAATTATGTATAGTAGACATTTGAATTTGCTACAAGGTAGGAATGTGTTGATGTCATTTCCTGGCATTGAGTAAAGCAGCAAGGCTAGCTCACCTTACTCTCAGGGGATGAGAAAGAAAAATTTAACCGGAAATGCAGACATAGCCATTAGGCAGTCAGCAGAAGTATGGGAAAATGTGAACAAACTGTTAACGAGGGAAGTGGGAGATAGATCGCGGTCAGAACCGCCGGAACCTTGAAGATAGAAAGAGGTCACGGAAGCCAAGGGCAAGGGGACACTGATAACAGGTAAGCGCTGAGGCGATGACTCCGATAATAGTATGGGTAGAACGATAAATCTTCAAAATTTACGTAACCAGAGTGTTGTTAAGATAAAGTGAACTAGCCTTAATTAGGAAGGTAATGTTTAATACAAATGTAAAATTTCTGTAGTACTTAGTGTTAGAAATAAATGGTGTATAGTCTTAGGGAACAAGCTGTAGCTTCACTTTAAGAAATATCATATCAGCCGACGACAGCATCCTTGTGAACTTGCCTTGCTTCATTCCAAGCCACGCTACCAACATTAGCAGGACTCAACCTATCCAAATTATCATCATTACAACATGATAAAAACTGGCTTTACTTTAAATTAACTTGCTGGCATTATTATGTTCTACCTTGATGATGCTGACGCTGCAGCTGAATACTGAAGCATCAGTGTAACAGATGCATCCAAAAGCAGTTGAATGTTGCGAAGACATTGAAGACGTGCTTCCACGCTCTCTTTTGTTACTCCTTCCATCCGTTGCAGCTCTTCTGTTGAAAGCCCTGTGAAATTGGCTGGTGGCATAGGTGGTGGTACTGTTGAGAACACAGGAATAAGAAACAAATAGTTCTGAGTACTCAAGTGAAGATTTGACCCATCCTGCTTACCAAACCAAACATAAATCAATCCTAGTCACAACATGAGAATATTAATTAAATTAAATTAAATCCTTGGCATAACAGCTCCAGAGGGCCAAAGCCGACTAGCTTGACTGCTGGCCTCACGTTCACATGCCTAAGCAGAGATGAACGATCATCCAACCAGATATAGGGTGACGTGTAGTCAGCACGACAAACCCCCAGCCCTTGCTAGTTTTCCTGACCGGATTCCGCTACTCATTGTAGCTCCCCAATTTCCTCATGATGCTGGGTTGGCACCAGTCCCATACACTGGCCGAAAGCTCATGAGAAAATTTCTTCTCCCCCCGAGACTCGAACCAGCGCATGTCTTTCAAATCGGGAACATCATTTAGACTTGTCCTGTACTTTAAGGAAGAAGATAACATACTCAGAAAATACCAACCAAAATCCTGGAAGCAACAGTAAGCTATAATCCATATTCCATTAAAATTAAGAAATATCAACATAAAGTTAAACATAGTTGCTCTAATTCTACTTTGCAAGATTCTGAAAGAAGCAGGTTTAAAATAACAATCCACATGTGGCTTCCCCCACCTCTATACAAAAATTATGGTTATGATATTATATTTATTTATTATTCCCAAGTTCTTCAACCTTCCGGGTTAGCCTATTGATGCTGCCAAGTCTTCAATCATAAAGAATGATAGTCCCTTACATAAACACTTACTGAAAGGCATGAAAGGAAATGGAGGGCAGAAGAATGGCACATTTGCTCCGGGCTGTAATGGCGGAGGTGGTGAGGTAAACTGACGAGCAGTAGGCGTAGACGTGGATGTTGAGGTGGAAGAGCTTGCTGACTGAGATGTTGCAGACGCTGATGTTCCACTGCCATTTGTAGCTGGGGCAGCTGACGTCCCTGCAACTGAGCCTGAAGAAAAGAAAGATCATATTCAGACTGTGCCTTTAACTCAAAGATATCATAGATCAAACTTACATTTGTAACATGTAATGAAGTTCTTGTTGCAGCATCTAACCTGCAAAATTGAAACTGTCTTTTACATTTAAAAACATTAAAAATAGTGAAATTAGAAGAATGAGTGAATGTACCAAAGTAATGACATTTATGCTAAACAGAGGTGAAAGGTAAACATAATAAAGTATAAAACTTATTGCACACTCACAGTGAATTCATACCTGAAGGGTATAAAACAGGTAACATGAAAACACATTTTCACAAGAGATCTCAAGTTAATTAGCTACACAGATCGACATCTTTTCTGGTAATTCAACAGTTACTCAGTCAGACAAATTCTATCTTTTACAGAGCATAAAGGTTCATTACCATGTTCACAAGAGCCCACCACCAGTCTACATCATGATCCAGATGAAACCAGTCCACAGGTTCATATAATATTTCTCTAAAATCCATTTTTATATTACACTTACATCTGTGCCTAGATTTTCTCAAATAGTCTCTTCTCTTCAGGTTTTCTGTTCACAACCACATTTTGTATAAATTTCTCACCCAAACTATGCAAGCTACATGCTCTGCCCATATCATCCTCCTTTACATGACGTCATGAAGATCTCACCCAAACTATGCAAGCTACATGCCTTGCCCATATCATCCTCCTTTACATGACATCATGAAGAGTACAAATTATGAAGCTTGTCACAATGCAATTTTTTCCACCCTCCTATTGTTTCTTCTTAACTTTTAAGTCTGAATATCCTCCTCAGCACCTTACTCTCAAACTGCTCAATATGTGGTTTTCCACTAATGTGAAAGTCCAAATTTCACATCAATATAAAACATTATAGTTTTTTTAAAACTGAGCATTCTTTTAAAATCTGTATAATAAAATACATATACACGAAAGACAAAAATTCCGTTGCCTGAATTTTGTTATTTGTAAGTATTACTGTATATAAATCAGCAGCAAATGTTGTTCGGTTGGTTTGTGAACTTTCTTTTTAATCACTACTATACTACGAAAAATGCAAAAAACATAAATATATCTATTCAACATTAAGATTTATCTACTTATGTATCTTTTACTTAATCTTCTTATTAACAAAGCATATTGTAATCTGATACATATGTTTCACCAAAATACATTATGATATGTCTTAAACATTGTTTTCTTTCATCTCTACCAATTCAGATGTTTATCGAGACTGATCGCTGGCAGAACAGCATAGATTCAGAGGGTCTTGACTTTGTACTACAAAGGGACCAATTAATATAATGTATAGCCTGTGATATATATTCAAATATATTTGTTAGTTGGTTGGGGATCATCTTCTAAAATCTATTTTCAGTTATTATAACAAAAATATGTCTGTTAAATGATTCAAATATCAGGTACGAAACATAATAACCAAGATTTTCTTCTGGGTTGTTGCGCTGTGTAGTCTGGTCGATGTTAACCAACGTTTCAGAGGTCGTACTGCCTCCGTCATCAGGGAAATTCATCATTAATTCCCGTCATGAAGATCTCTGTCTTCTGGGTTGTTGCGCCGTGTAGTCTGGTCGATGTTAACCAACGTTTCAGAGGTCATACTGCCTCCGTCATCAGGGCGATGAGTATGAAGATTTCTGTCTTCTGGGTTGTTGCGCTGTGTAGTCTGGTCGATGTTAACCAATGTTTCAGAGGTCATACTGCCTCCGTCATCATCGCCCTGATGATGGAGGCAGTATGACCTCTGAAATGTTGGTAAACATCTACCAGACTAAACAGCGCAACAACCCAGAAGACAGAAATCTTCATACTCACCGCTGTGAAAACCTCAAATCTTATATAATAACCAAGCTGCAACATGTATGTTCATTGCTTGCTATTTTCCCTTCATTCTTGTTGGTTCTAGTTACTTTGCTCCATAATAAAGCTCTCACTTGTAATTCAGCCTTAAAAATTTGCAATGGATTATTCATTACTTTCAGCTACTTTGAGCCTTGGTCGAACTATATCAATCTATCATACAACAGATTCCTGACTTCTCATGTTTCAAGACAAAAATTATACGATCACCACAAATAAATATATACAGAGTGATTCAAAAGGTTAGGGCCAAACTGAAGGAGCATATAGGGGGACTCAGAGAGAACAATTTTCGGATAGGAATCCACGTCCTCCGGAGTTATCCTGAGTCGGTCGAGGCCATTGAAGGTAGGGACGTCTAATAACATACCACTGAAACAATCGTATTTTGCTATTCTCCTACTAGCTTAATTTTTTTTTGTTAATGTACAAAGATTACATTAGCAGTCTTACAAACTAAATTTACAACAGGTATGTTATCAGACGTCCCTACCTTCAATGGCCTCGACCGACTCAGGATAACTCCGGAGGACGTGGATTCCTATCCGAAAGTTGTTCTCTCTGAGTCCCTCTATACGCTCCTTCAGTTTGGCCCTAACCTTTTGAATCACCTTTATAAATACCACAAAGATTGTATCTAGCGACCCAGAACAGCAGAAATGTCTGACAGAGATGACAAATCCAAACCAAGCTGTATGCAGTCTCCTTCATATTAATTAATCTTTGCAGTATAAAGACAAAAGACTGCAGTTATGCAAGCCTAGATCCTTGTTCACAAGACATGTGTCTGGAAGTGAACCAGTACCTGTGGCACTTGACTGTTGAGCTCGTTCTTCTGTTTGCCGCCGAGTGTTTTCTGCTGGCCCTGCAGCAGGTGGCTGAGGAAAAGCCTGCCAAAAAGGAAATGGTCCAGGAAATACACCTGCAGCTCCAATCAGGGGTTGGAAAGGATTGACACCAGCTGTAAATCATCATCAACCACATATTAACTCCTAAAACCAATGGCCTCTTCATACGATATACTGACAGCAACATACTTACCTACAAACCCAAATTTAATTCAATTCATTTATTTATTTAAGTGTCTGTCAACAGCGAGAAGCCAATAACACGCAAACACTGATAATTCATACAAATAATAAAAATAATAATTTAAAATATTAAAAATACAAAAAACAAACAGAATAACTAAAAATATAAATGTACCATATTAAATATAGCAGCCAAATACAGGCAAACACAAAATAAAAAACAATATGATATAAAAAGATAAATAAATTAAAAAGTATAAGTAGAAGCAAATAATCCACCTAGGTAAAGGCTTATATAAATGTAAAATGCTAATGAAATACAAGGAACAAAATAATAGCAAGAATTAAACTAAAAACAAATAACGAAGCTAGATAATAGTAAAAGTCAGGAAATAAGTTAGAACTTAATATAGTGTCATTCAGCCAGGTTAATAATTCAATTAATTTATTAAAATGATTACATTTTTATTATACAGAGAAATAACAATTTTCCTTCTTCTTTCTTAACAATGTCACTCCACTCACCGGGTGGTTGTGGTGGTCCTGCTACAGGAGCACCCTGCAACTGCTGGCCTTGAGGTTGTCCCACTTGAGGAACTGGAGGATTCTGCACATTTGTTGTGGGGGTTCTCAAGATGTTCAACCTGCATGTGGGACAGGTCTGCTGGCGTTGAAACCACGATCGGAGGCACGATGTGTGAAAAATGTGGTTACATGGTAGCTTCTTTGAGGCTATAATCACCAACAAGCATAGTAACTTAATAACGGTTTCACAATCATTTCATGAAACAATGTAGTCAGAAATATTCCGGGAACGCTGCATCGTATTGACCAACACAAAAAAATATAAAATAAGCAAACAAATAATTATTAACGCTATAAAAAAGACACTATTGCCATACGCGTTTCAACCTCAAGAGGTCATCATCAGTGGCATCAGGGAAATTAATTCATTTAATCAAATGGTTTAAACTTGATTTAGGAAATAAATAATGAATAGGGTATTTAACAAAAGTATATCAAGCGATAGTGCACTAGATGTTGCTATTCACAAGAGTTGAACTCTGGACTTAGCTATTGATCAGATGGGCCAGTGGCCATAGCTGGTCTGCGGCGAGCTGTGGTTGCGTCGTCCGTACCTGTGAACTCCAGAATCGTGGATGTGAGACTGTCAGTTGATATCATGGACATATTAAGAGTAGCTCCAAAGGGCAAAATGCTAGATATTTTAGAAAAATTCCATATATACAAAAGTGGTAAACACAAAGCCATCATTAACGAACAAAACGCCCAAGATTCTAACGTATTATTTGACCTGGCATTAAAGAGGAGAAAGTAAATTTTCAATAGTTGGCCACCCTGATTTCAAGCTTACATATACCCCACGCATTCCAACCGACAGTCTCTCACCCACGATCCTGGAGTTCACAAGTACGGACGATGTAACCACAGCTCGCCGCAGACCAGCTATGGCCACCGGAACATCCAATCAATAGCTAAGTGCAGAGTTCAACCCTTGTGAATAACAACATCTGGTGCAGTGTCGCTTGAAATATTTTTGTTAAATACCCTATTCATTATTTATTTTCTAAATCCAGTTTAAACCATTTGATTAAATTAATTAATTTCCCTGATGCCACTGATGATGACCTCTTGAGGTTGAAACGTGTTTGGCAATAGCGTCTCTTTTATAGCGTTAATAGTTGTTTGTTTGCTTATTTTATATTCTAATACACTACATGGTATGCAAAGTTTTAACAACACAAAAAAGGTGGGTGGCACAGAGAAGAAAAAGACACAAATTGCATCTTCCTCACACCTGAAGTGAATGAATACTTTATATGCCAACTCTCTAGACTGCCTCTGCAGAAACTGACATCTATACACATCTTAATATACCAGTGGTACACCTAATGCTTAATACCAACAATTTGTTTCATAAAAATTATATTCAAATAATATACCACAAGCGTAATACTTACTTGTAAAACAAATAACACTACTTCCCAAGAGCGCACATAAAATGTGTCTGAAAATTTGTGTAACAAGTTAATATAATGAATCTGATTATACTGATATAAAAGAATGCAACTTTTGTGCTTGCCTGTTACCATTTCTTCTCTGCAGATTATACACACATTATCTGCTGCAGCCAACTCTTCTGAAGTAGCATCAGGATACAGCGTGTTCATGTTTCGGATTGTACGGCGAGACAAGATCACATCGTTGAAAGCTTTTTGAATGATCTGGAAAAAAAAAAGTTACTTCATCATACAAATCAATGGCTATATATAAAACTAATATAAACAAATGCAAAATTCAGAAAATACTTTTGTAATACTTAAAGTGACCAGCATACAAACAAAAAAAACTGTTTGCGATCAAAATTCATGTAATATTTAACACACAACTACTCTGATGGTTACTTATGACATGTCGATATCTATTCAAAGTTAACAGTGTGTTAAGCAAATCACAATGTTGCCACTAGTAAAATACTAAGTGTGTATTGTTTCTTGTATTTCATGGCATGGAAGTCCTGTGGAAATGACAGACCAAAATGAAAAGGAATGATGTTTCTTTACATCACTGCAAGTTATACACTTATTGTTGCTTTTAATAAATCATTTGGCTTTTATTTAAATGGACTTAAAAAATTATGTAATACGTGAAGCTCTTAGGGTGACTGAACACAATAAAATTATGTTTAATAATACCAGAAACTGTTTTTGTATCTATCTTTCTTATTTTGTCATGAGCCGGGACAGCTTAGTCAGTATAGTGACTAGCTACGGGCTGGACGGCCGGGGTTCGATCCCCGACGGGGGCGGAGGATTTTTCCTCTAGCCTCTGCATCCAGACC